CCCGTTGCGGAGCACAGGCTCCGGACGCGCAGGTTCAGTGGCCATGGCTCACGGGCCCAGCCACTCTGCGGCATGTGGGATCTTCCCGGACTGGGGCACGAACCCGTGTCCCCTGCATCGGCAGGCGGTTTCTCAACCACTGCGCCACCAGGGAAGCCACGTCTAGGTGATTTTTAATGAAGAGCTGAACTTATCTTTTACCCAAGATGTCCTCCTGCGTTGCCCGCCCCCCTCAATGGGTAAAGACAATAAAGACAATAATTCAGTTACTACTTCTCAATCTATGGTGAAGAACCAGTTTTGTTTCCTATGCGTTGCAAACCAATACTTCTGTAATATACAGAAAAAATGAATTGCTATAAAATGAATTCTTCACCCCAAGTATGGTGAAGCATTGTCAGAGTTCTCCAAAAGTTCCTAAATGCCTTCTCTCCACTTCTGTACTTATTGTGACATAGACTCGTGAGAAGCAGTTCTTGCACTGCTTACTTTGAGTAGCACTGATTAAAATTGACCATTCTGAAAATTTATATAACGGTTCCCTTGAGTAAAATAAGATCCACCAGTAATGCAGCTGGGCAGATTGGCAGACTCCATCAGAGAATTACCAATTCTTCTAACGCATTTGAGCTCATTCTTTATCTACTAGTCCTTGGGCCCCTTAGTCCACGTTCTCAGGAGTTCATGTGTTACAGGGGAGCACCCAGTCCTAGCAGAAGGCTGCAGAAGACATCAAAATGGTGTCCAGTGTCAGACCTAGGAACATCCTCAGAGATCAGTGGGTCCAAATCCGTTTTCCCCCATAGAGGGAAGCTGAGGCCGAAGCTCACATGGTTCATTAGTGGTCAGACTGGGGCTAAGGATGCTCTAGATTTGTAAGTCCTGGTCGTCTGCCATGGCACAGCTTCTCAGAACTACCCTGACATTCTTGCCATTCCCAGTACCTGCCCCCGTCATGTTCTGTCCTTGCTCTCTTCTTCCCTAATATCCCTGAGCATTTGGGGTTTTTTTGTTTTCGTTTTTGTTTTTGTTTTGTTTTGTGGTATGCGGGCCTCTCACTGTTGTGGCCTCTCCTGTTGCGGAGCACAGGCTCTGGACGTGCAGGCTCAGTGGCCGTGGCTCACGGGCCCAGCCGCTCCGCGGCATGTGGGATCTTCCTGGACCGGGGCACGAACCCATGTCCCCTGCATCGGCAGGTGGACTCTCAACCACTGTGCCACCAGGGAAGCCCTCCCTGAGCATTTGGGATTATGAAGTGCTGAGTGAGTGAGTTTGGAAGAGAATCGGATAAGGGCCTTGGGTTTTCATGAGCCACTGCAGAGCTGTTAGAGCTACAATGGCCATGAGTTTTCCTAATTAAGGACAGCCAAGTGAGGATGCGTACAAAGAAGGGGACTGGGGCTGCGAGGGCCCCAGGAGCTGTATTGTATAACCACTTGAAGATGTTTGGCTTGGATGAGAAAGTTCTCTCAAGGCCACGACCATAGGGCCATAACACATGTACTTCAAGTCTCCAAAGGCCTGTTCTGTGGAAAAGGGAACAGAATCATACTATATGGTTTCTAAGCCATGGCTGGGACCAAAGTGATGCAATTACAGGAGGCAGCTGAGTAGCAGCTAATGTCATCCCTGATCAGAATGGTCCTGCCTGGGGAGTGCTTCTCTGCAGGTGAGTGATTTTCCTTCCACCTGAGGCATGCACAGTGAGGTTGTAGCCAGGATTACAGCAAAGGTGGAGAAGGTGGCCTTGATGGTCTTAAGGTTGACCACTGCACAGCCCAACTTTTTGCTGCTGTCTTATTCCAAGTCATTTTAGGGAATTAAATGGTGACTGAGAGAGAGAGAGAGAGAGAGAGAGAGAGAGAGAGAGAGAGAGCGCGACAGTCTGCACCAGTCAGGGTCCTAGCAGGAAACAGATGGCATATTCAAACGGAATAATTCAGTAGAGTTGAAGGAGGGGCTATTTGGGAGGAGAGGCTATTTACAACAGTGCAGGCAGGGTTCAGGACAACCAGCAAGGCAAGGGTCAAGTACAGTGGGGACCCATTTCCATCCTTGGCCTGTAGAGGCAAGAGGAGGAAGTAGTTACGGAACCCAGAGAGAGTGGCTGAATGGCGAGGGTGTCCTGGCGGCAGCTGGGACTCTCAGCAGAGAAGAAGAGACAGGCTTCAGCCAGAAGGGACCCAGAGACGTAAATTTTACGTGATCATTCTCTAGTCTCCTGCCAGCGCTTCCCACTGGGGAACCACACTGGAAGTCATGAGGCAGAGGCATCTGTCGATGAAACACCAGGAGGCCAGCCTCTCAAGGGCACAGGGCAGGGTGGAGAGGGGTAGGGAGTGGATGTGGGTGAGC